ACTGTGACGCATACACATTTAGAGAAGTCATCGACAAGTAATGTCATCTTAGCTACAGCGCTAGTTCTAATACAGGATGCATCTGGATGCTATCAATTGGGTAGGGCGTTACTAGATTCGTGTTCACAGGTGAACTTCATCACTAATGATTTCGCTCAAAAACTTCGCATACCCATGGCCAAGCATAATATTGAAATTAACAGCATCGGAAATTCATCGACAAGAATCACATCAAAGGTATCAACTACTATCAAATCTCGATTCACGGCTTTTCAACTTCCATTGACATTCTGTATAACATCACATATTGCGTATCAACCAGATTCTGAAATAAACATCTCAACTTGGAACGTACCACCAAATATTAACCTTGCTGACGAACAATTTTACAAATCAACCCGTATTGATTTACTGCTTGGCACTGAAAGCTTTTTTAGTGTCCTGTCAGTAGGCCAGATTAAACTTGGATTAGGATTACCAACGTTACAGAAAACTATTTTGGGCTGGATTGTTTCAGGTAGATATGATGTTTCACAATGCGTTAATGTCTCCTTTCATCAATTGACTCTGTCGAGGAAAAGTTAGAACGTTTATGGAAGCTAGAAGAAGTCTCGATCACTCCACATGCTTGGACTAGTGAACAACAAGTTTGTGATCATTTGTTTTCAGAAACAGTATGCAGAACAGATGCAGGTAGAGTTATGGTAAGGTTGCCATTTAAGGATAGTCCTCAGTGTTTAGGCAGTTCATACGGTACAGCGTTGCGTAGATTTATTGCACAAGAAAATCGATTGTCACGGTCGCCTGAGCTCAAAACGCAATATGTTGCCTTTATGGAAGAATATCAAAACCTTGGTCACATGATTGAGGTAAAAGATCCAAATATTGATGAACCTCATTATTACATTCCGCATCATTGCGTATTGAAGCCAACCAGCACCTCGACGAAATTAAAAGTCGTATTCGACGCATCATGTCGAACCTCTTCTCAGAAATCTCTCAATGATATTTTGATGATTGGACCTACTCTGCAAACTGAATTGTTCATCCTCTTGTTACGTTTTCGCTTATTTCGATTCGCTCTTACTGCTGACATAGTGAAGATGTATAAACAAATTCTGATTGATCCTGAAGATAGAAAATTTCAGTACATTCTTTGGAGAAGTTCACCATCTACCAATATTCGTACTTTCCAGCTCAACACAGTTACATATGGAACAGCTGCTGCACCGTACCTTGCCATTCGTTGCCTATTGTATATAGCGCATCAATATGTGGATCAATTCAAGATTGCAGCTGAAGTAATCAAATCTTCGTTTTATGTTGATGACTTATTGCATGGTGCAGATTCTCTTTCTGAGTTACATCAAATAAGATACGAATTGGAAGAGCTTCTAAAACAGGGAGGTTTCGAATTAGCTAAATGGCACTCCAATCATCAAGCTTTTAGAGATGACACTACTATCAAAGATCTCAATATAGGTTCGGATGTTATTACCAGCACATTGGGACTGAAATGGGATCAAGATAAGGATGTATTTATTCCTTCATTTAATGTTAAACCAAACTCTATCAGCCGCATCACAAAAATAACTATTTTATCAATTGCGTCGTCACTATTCGACCCATTAGGACTATTAGCCCCAATAACCATTTCAACTAAAATATTATTGCAAGAGCTATGGCTGCTTAAATTGGATTGGGACGAATCCATTCCTCAAAATTTACATTCAGCATGGGAAAGGCTTTGTCACGATTTGTCATCATTGAACACCATTACCATTCCAAGGTACTGTCTAAAACCAAAAGCAAAAACAATTCAGCTCCATGGGTTCTGCGATGCATCGATTCGCGCATATGGTTGCAGCATTTACATTCGTGTCACAGATGATTCCAACCTCATAGAGGTTCAACTATTCGTAGCCAAATCTAGAGTAGCTCCGCTAAAAAAACAATCGCTTCCAAAATTAGAACTTTATGGAGCTACTTGCAAGACTTTACAACAAAATTAAATCGCTCTTCGAAAAGTTTGATACGGACGTCTATTTATGGTCTGATTCCCAAATCGTATTACATTGGCTCAAAATGCATTCGGCCACACTGTCTGCCTTCGTAGGCAATAGAGTTTCTGAGATTCAAGAACTCACCGCAGGTTCACATTGGAGATATGTCCACACAAATTGTAATCCAGCAGACATTGTGTCAAGAGGCAGCACTGTTAAGGATCTCACTAATTCTATTTGGTTTAAAGGACCTTCATTTCTTCGTCAAGAGATGTATAAGTGGCCTGCAAACAAGAACGACAACTTGGATTTTGAAGAAGTCAATAAGGAAAAACGAAATGCAGCATTCAAGGTAACTGTATCAACCAATTATGTCATAGATATTATTGATAAGTATAGCTCACATACAACGGCTGTTCGTGTACTGGCTTGATTGTTTCGTTGGTATCATCATTACAAGAAGAAGTTCAACCGCAATGTCTTTACAGAAGTCCTTACTCATGAAGAATTAGACTACGCCTTCCGATGCATCATTTCAAATATACAAGCTCAGTACTTTGCTGAAGATATTTATTTATTGAATCGAGGATCTATAACAAAAGGTTCATTAAAATACCTCAACCCATTTATTGAAGACACCGGTGGGTATAAGCTGATAAAGGTTGGTGGACGATTAGAATTGGCTGATCTTGCAAAAGAACGTAAACATCCTATCCTGCTGCCTAGCAAATCTGAATTCGTCATACGTTATGTTCGTTACTTGCATCGTAAGAATTATCATGCTGGACCTAAGGCACTAGTGGCACTCATTCGTTTAGAGTTTTGGATTATAAACGCCAGAGAGGTTGCTCGAAGAGTAGTCAGACAATGTGTTCACTGCGTGCATTAAAAGCCAAAACTATTGCAACAGATGATGGGCAATTTACCGGTAGAACGTCTCAGACCGTCACGGCCGCTTGCGCGCTGTGGTATAGATTTTTGTGGACCATTCAACACGTATTTACGTATAAGAGGGAAGCCTCCATACAAAACTTATATCGCCATTTTTATTTGTATGGCAACAAAAGCAGTACACATCGAAGTTGTATCAAGTTTGTCAACAGACGCGTTCATTGCAGCATTAAAAAGAATGATTGGCAGGAGAGGCTTACCAAGTGATATATTTTGCGATAACGCAACCAATTTTGTTGGGGCTTCGAATCAATTGACAGAACTAAAGTCATTCTTGTTTAATAAAATAACCCAATCGTCTATCATTCAGTACTGCGCGTCTGAATTTATTAATTTTCACTTTATTCCTCCCAGGGCACCTCATTTTGGCGGTCTTTGGGAGGCTGCAGTTAAATCCGCAAAAGGGCACTTATACAGAAGTTTGATGACTACTAAGTTAACATTTGAGGAGCTGTCAACAGTAACAACCGAGATAGAAGCTATTCTCAACTCTCGACCATTGACACCACTTTCGCCAGATCCTAGCGACTACGAAGCATTGACTCCCGCCCATTTTTTGATTGGGTGCTCTCTAAAGGCGTTACCGGAAGGGACGGAATCTGCTAATACTAACATGCTCGACAAGTGGTCCCTCATCATCGGTTTGAAACAATCATTTTGGAAGCGGTGGTCTCATGAATACATATATGAGCTACAGATGCACACAAAATGGACCTGTGAAATATCAAATATCATGCCCAATGCAATGGTGTTAATTCATGAAGACAATGTGCCTCCATTACATTGGCAACTCGGAAGAGTTCTGAAGGTCATACCAGGCAAGGACGAGCATGTCAGAGTAGTTGACGTACGTCATTCGCAGACCTATCCACAAACTAGCCATTTTACCTATTGAAAGTCCTTTCAAGGAGGCCGGGATGTTGGGTAACAATACAAAATAACATAAAATATATAATGTTCATAAATAACGAAAGTTTTTGTATTATTGGCAACCCTGTTGCACAATGTAAGTTTTTAATAAAAACGATCAGTCTTGATCAAACTCGAATTAAAAAACAACGTGTTTTTTTGTCGTCTCTTTTTCGGTTTTAGTTTTACTAAGAAAAATTCTTCTTGGTACAATATATATTAGGATACCTTCTGCTCAAAAAGTACTCGGATTTTGTAAATAAAACACACAAATTTAAATTTTATTCCAAATTTATATTATCTCCTTCAAAATATGCTCCTTCTGAAGCGATACACATATGCCAACGCGTAACCCAATCTTCCATACACTTTTCTTAGGCCTGTGCTTTTAATTTCTTCTCTTTTACCGATTCAATCGACTCAAAACGCTTACCACGAAGGGGCAATTTTAGTTTCCGGAACAGGAAAAAGTCACACGGATCCAGATCGCGAATATGGTGCCTGAGCGATGACGATGGTGCCGTGTTTGGTCAAAAAATCGCGTACAACAAGAATTTTCCTTAGTAAAAATCGCTAAATGCACTTCAGGTAGTCTCACCTTAACAGCTGCTGTAAACAAACTAATTGACAGATGGCGCTCAAATTTGTACCATATATCAAGAAAGGGTATACCAACATAACAAAAAAAAATTTTTGAAAAAGGTCTATTACTTAAGGAGTAGTTAACAAACAACAAAATCCGGATACTTTTTGAGTACTCGTATAACTTTTTTTCACATCTTGAATAGGTTTAACTTATTAATAGATATACAACATTTTTATTACTTATATTAAAACCAAATTTTTTTTCTACTTTTGTCATTTTTAGTTTAGTATACAGTTAAATAAATTAAATTACATGAAACCATACATGAGACTATAAGAAACGCTGTAGTGAAATGATAAGGTATAATGTAAAATTTAATGCAAAACAGTTGTATGAAACTCCACTTCAGAAGTATATTTCACAAAGCCGAGTCATTAACACTAACGAAAGTTTTCGTAAAATGACCGGATAATTTCATTTACTATAAGCATGTTGATTTCTGTATATTTATATATAAATAAAATCTTTGTTCAAATAAAATACAACCTTACCTCTTGACTGCTGACAAAATGATATTGACTCAAATTGGGAGCAGTAAACTGGGTGTAAAATATTTGATTTTGCTGATTTGAACTCCTTTCCGATTGCCTGAACAAATGTTGTTGTAATAGCATAGTTTGACTTATGTTCGATTTATTAGTATACATTGTTGAATTTAGTAACTGACTTCTATTATTGTCTTTACTTGGTTCTGTTAATCCAAAAGACTGTGTAATTGTTCCTGATGTAAATAAAATAAGATAAAAAATAACAAGATTTACTATAAATATTGTGAAAATTTATATGCGAATTAATTTGTAAAATTGTTAAACAGAAATTTCTAAGTAATTCGCAATTAAAATAAAAATTAAAGGAATAAGTAACATAATTCGAATCCATCAAAAATGATAACAAGAAATGCATTTCGGAAGTGAAAATACTATATGTTATAATTTTTGATTTTCACTCCTGACAGTTTTGTTATATTAACAATCTTTACTTCATATTTTTTTAAATTTAAGTCATTTATCAATCATACCAAATCATATCAATCATACCAAATCATATCAATCATATCAAATCATGAAATTTATAATAAATTTATTAAAATAAAACTAATAAAAACTAAAAATAATTAAAACTAATTTATAGTTTAAATAAATTAGTACAATTGAGTGCGAAATTAAATTCCAAAATGATGTTTATAATTTAAATAAATTAGTAAAATTGAACTCTAAAATAAACTTACAACCGAAATTTATAACTTATATGAATTTATAAATTTCTCAAAAAAGAAAGTGCTAAAATTCTTCGGATATCATCGTTACCGTCGTTGGAAACAAGCAGAAGGATTGAAGCTGCAACAAAAGTGCTTGGAAATTGGAAATTGGGCAAATTCGACGAGGAATAGGTAAAGAAAAATATAATGATATTTATGTGAATGCTATCTTCTTAAAAATTTTGTTTTTTACTAAAAATTATTTTGATTTAAATATTACGAAAATTTTAGATTTTCTAAAAAAAAAATTTAAATTTAATTATTGAAAATAATTTTGTTTTTTTACTATTAGAATTTTTAATTGAGAATACATTAATTTAATTTCAATTTTTTAAAATTATGAATTAACTAAAAAACTATTATATTTTGATTTAAATTCTGCTCTAAATCTCTAAATCTCTAAATCTAAAATTTTGCAAAATAGCATCCTCTTAGACAGACGCTTAAAATTCCACTGCTTTGTTTGAGCTTGAAAGTGTGTTATAAATTATTTCATACTTTAGTATCAATACAAAATTAAACAACAACAGATTGCGCCAAATAGAAAAGGTCTAAAATGAGTGTTCAGCGTTCTCCCCCTGAGCGCGAAACTAAACAAGTTATTGAGGGAGTAAGTATGCAAACAAATAAATTTACTAATTTATTGCCGTCTTCTTCTGCACGCAAAAGTGATCTTCTCACAGCGCATGCGCAGTCAAAAACTTTTTCTTGGAGTGCTGAATGTGGATCTTCACTGCCAAATTCTCCATCAACAATTGTTGCACATCAAAACAGCGATGATAAACATGTATCAGAAAAAACGTTGCAGAAAAATGTTTGTATGCAAAAGTTGCTAAATTGCACAACAAAACATAACGAACATGAGTCTATCAGCATTGAAGATAAAAATAATATTCAAAATGCTGCCAAACAAGACAACGGCAATAAAATTCAGACAGGAATAGATAGATATATTCTTGTAACAAAGCGGAAACGCAGCCCCATGACAAAACCATCTAGTCAAATTTCAAAACTAACAAAATTAGTTGAAAACGGCGCCTCCTTAAATAAAAATAGATTTCAAATCTTATCAACTGATGAAAATAACGAGAATACCGAAAATAATACCAAAAAATACAAACCACCTCCAATTTATCTAAGGGAAAAAAATTCGAACGATCTTTTAAAGAAGATAACATCCATAATAGGTGATAAACATTTCTACGTGATTCCACTCTTGAAGGGAAATGTTAATGAAACAAAAATCCAAATAAATGATGAATTAAATTATAGAAAAATTATAAACTTCTTTGATGCCAATAATAAAAGCTACTACACCTACCAGCTAAAAAGTAGCAAAGGTTTAAGTGTGGTAATAAAAGGTATAGATTCGTACCGGAAGCTGATATAAAAGCAGCCTTAGCAGAAGCCGGATTTGAAGCAAAGTCCATATTTAATATTAAAAACAAAAATAAAACACCTCAGCCAATATTTAAAGTAGAACTTGAGCCAAACGCAAAAAAACTCGCTAAAGGAGAAGTGCACCCAATTTACAATCTTCGTTATCTTTTACATCGAAGGATAACAGTAGAAGAGCCTTTCAAAAGAAAAGATCCAATACAGTGTACTAACTGTCAAGAATTTGGCCATACTCGAACCTATTGCACCTTACCTAGTGTATGTGTAATATGTGGAGATCTACACAAATCCTCCATATGTCCAAAACCTAAAGAAGATGCAAATGCAAAAAAATGCAGCAATTGCGGCAAAAATCATACTGCAAATTATAGGGGTTGTACCGTATTTGTTGCAGTTAAGCAGAGAACTCTTCCCAAAAATCAATTAAACGCTGTGCCACCCAAAAATTACTACCAAGAACAAATAAACAATACAGAAGCAACAATCTCTCAAGGCAAAAGTTATGCAAATGTATTAAGAGAAAATATTCAACCTCAACAATTGGCAATACCAGCAGTAGATAATTTAGAAGAGACGCTAAAAACACTGATCCAAAGTCTTAATCTTTTTATGTATAGTATGCAAAGTATGATGCAAGAACTTATAAAAAATCAAACTGCTCTAATGCAAACTCTAATAATGAAAAAATGAGCAACTCCATTAGAATATGTCACTGGAATGCAAACGGTATAAACAACCACAAACTTGAAATTGAATATTTTTTAATTAGTAATGCAATTGATATTATGCTTGTGTCCGAAACACATCTTACACATCTAAATATTTTAAATGAATATTTTAATTGTTTCAATACACGCATGGCAATTTGGATTACGATATGTTTAAAATATGAAATTGTAGTACATGTCTTCCGGAATCATATTGCGAGCAATTGTGCATGCAATATGATTTGCCCTTATTACAGTTGGTTACCATATGTGTGAACTGTTAAGAAACTATAGTGCCTATTATGAATTATCTATCGCTGATAAACAGTAGAAAAATTTCTACTGCAGATAGACAAAATCAAATTTTGGTATTATGAAGTGCAAACCGATAAAAGTTTTTCTATCAGCGGTAGACAAATTTCTCTACTGCATTTGAGCAGTAGAAGTTTGTCGATCGTATAAAATAAATGCTGTTAAAACGCTTTATATAGTCAATTTAACATATAAATTTAATATAACTTAAATATTACTTATTTAATAGTTAGTAATAATTCATTTAGGTTTAATATAATATAATATATATTTAATATATTTGATTTCAAGTGTAGTGTTATATGTATATTAAAAATAATGATTGTTGCATTTTTGTTTTGTTTTGTTATTTATTTATGTGTATTTATTCAAATATTTTCAACATACGCAAGCATTTTTCAAATTTCTTAGATATATTTTTCAACGAATAATGTATTTACATAAAATTAAGAAATAATAAAATTAATAAATTTTGTTGTAGGGAAAAATTGAGGAGCAATAAAAAGCAGATAGCAAAACTTGTTGCAAATGTTGGAAAAAATATTGTTGCAAATATGGAAAAAAGAAAGGCATTTGCAACAAGACACATTCCAGACCAATGTGGGACAAAATTACGATTGAGCTTAATAGTCTAGACGCCTAGAAAATATTGAAAACATTTTTTTGATGGGAGGCAAGAGTATTGTGATCAAAAACTTATTGTAATAATCATATAAATATCGGTCCTTTAAGCTTCAACTGTTTAAAAAAATATGAATATTACTAATTTAATTTAATGTAATATAAATATAATGTAAATATAACTACATATTATAAAAATATTAAAATTAAGATATATATAAACATATTTATTTTTAGAATATTACAGTTTAAGTTTAATATATTACTTTAGTTTATTAATGTAATGTAATATTAAATAATAATTTCGTATTAAGAAAATATATTTTTATTTATTTTAAAAAGAATTTGAATTCAATTTTAATGTTTCTTAGTGAACACAATACAAACAAAATAAGTTCAATTAAAGCTGGGTGCTCTAAAACCCTTACATCATTCACAATAGTGCAAATGTTTGTCTATCAAGTTTCATAATACCAAATTTGCCTACCAATCGACTCGGTAGACAAATGTCTATTGTCTATCGGTAGACATTTCATAATATGTCTATGTCTTGACCAATGACGTAAGTATATAGAAATAAGTATTATTGTAACCAATAGCATTTAAGTATATAATAAAATTATTAGATGTAAGAAAAGGTATTTAAGAAGCTGAACTGTTTTCGGTACAAATTAAGATAATTGTAATCAGTCTAGGTGGAGTCCTTCTAAAGAACTTTAGACATCCTGGAATTTAAGTGTATAAACTAGTATTTAATAATTTTAATTAAACACAATATATTAAAATAATAAAATAGAAGTTTATACGTTGAGTTTTATTTAAATATTAAAAAGGACAATAATTTTTAAATACCACAACATGATACACTTAACTGTGTCATAATATATTTCTAATCATTGATGTGGGTCAATCTCTATTTTTGTGCCGACGCAAGTAGAGTTATTAAGAAAAATAGTAAGTATTTATAGTAAAATATTTTGTATAAATACTTCATAATTTTATGAACAAAATTTTTAATTAATACTAAGCTCTAACAGCTTAATAATTATTCTTAAATTTATTTTGTCTCGGCATTTTCGGAGGCCTATTCAATGGCAGATTTCTTCCTACTAACTTTAATAAGAAGAAAATTAAAACTTCGACTGAAGAAATCGTTTTACCAATCCCGTAGAAATCCAGGATAGAAATAAATTTACTAAATACATTTCAAATGTATTAAATAGCAATCCTGTCATTCAAATATAATTGAATTTATCATATAAAGATAAATTTAATAAATAAAAATTTATATTAAAATATATTACATGGCAATCTTCCTGCTATTATTGTAAATATATTACACACGTTTAATCAATTATTATTTCTTTGATGGAATCATTGATTATGATTTCCTTAAAGAAATTAAAGCTAATATTGACACAAAAA